CCCCCTCCCCCATCCCTCCCTATATAAGTCTCATCCCCAATCAGAAAAGACACCTGCCATTAGAAAATACTCCAGGAACGAAGAGAGATGTTTTGGACCAATTTATCTATCAAGTTGAAATTTTCGTGAGGATGGTAATATTTACAAATAACGGCATTACAGCTGCTGGCTTTTGACAGCCACAAAACAGTAGTCAGACATACGGTATCATTAATCAAAGTTGGAATCTTCAACAAAATGAAGAAGTCTTTCGTTGGACATCGCGTGCTTAGAATGGGTAGTTCAGTTGTAATACGACGTTGTAAGTAGTGTAAAGTGGTTACGGCCGCTTTGTCTCGTGTGATCTCAGGGTGCCAAGCACGAACAGGCCACGACTCCAGTTATATTTTTAGAAGGAGTTTACAAGGCATTCCGATAATTGCCAAGCTCTATCACAAACTGACAGTACTACCTAAGAGTGGCCTGGTGTGTTATTTGTCAGAGATGAAGGGGGCGTAAACCCCCCCTCCCCACCACCCCCTCCCCCCACCCCCACTTCACTCACCCTTTGTCCTCAGAAAAAGGAACGTACCCACTCCCCCTTTCCAAAAAAGAGACATCACCCACTTCTTCTCACCCCACCCCCCGCTTGATCCAACGTTCTCAAATAAATATCGTGAAAACAACAACAAAACAAAAAACAGACAAACAAACAAACAACAACAACAATAAAAAGAAGAAAAATAACATTAGATAAACTAAACGAGTTGGTCATATTTCCCAGCCCCAGACTTTGAGAGTGTGTAAGACAAACTTCTGTCTTCTATTTGGCCGTGTCTGAAAGGGCAAATGTGACATCCGTGCTGGTGTAGCACGGCCAGAAGTGAATAAGGAAGGTCTGCGGCCCCTGTTGGTTAGGACCTGTCCTCACAGTTTGTCACATTTGATGACGTGAAGGCAGAGGAGCAAGTGCTTTATCTGTCAACTTACAATCTTCGAGGGTGCTCGGGAGCGGGCCTGGGTAATGGAGAGGTCTGGACGTGCGTACTTGACGTTTTTGAACGTCACTTCAGCATACGCGTCGAAAAATGGTTCTGCAGGTGGGTACTCAAATCGAAGAAGAACACTCCCTCCCACACTCCCCCCCCCGCTTTCTTTACAAAACAGCTCTAAATTGACCTATCATCATGTAGTCATGTTCTTAATCGTTCTCTATGATGTAGTGGCTCTTCGCCATTATGCACAAAAGACAGCAGTTCGATCCCCACGAGGGGAATATGATTTATGAAGCATCTCTGTCTGTCTGTTGGGGTACAGTAGCCCACTCAGCCTGGGGCGTCCTTGGTTAGCAGGGTAGAACCAGACCGTCATGCTCACACAAAAAGGTCCACTAATTTGCGTGGGCTCAAGCCAAGTGTGCTTAGAGGAAGGTTTCTTGTCATCAGCCTCTCCGAGTCTATAAGTATACCTAACTAATCGATTTGGAAGAAGATGACAGCAGTGTGCATCTAACAAACTGCAGCACTGTATGTCCAATGGGGACTGACACTAGGATTTAGAATAAAAGGCCAACCAAAATAACTATTGTGAAATCGTGCACTGGTTCAGAAAGAGATCTATATGCATGTATTATGTTATACGTCTGTTTGATGTCAGACTGCATGACTGCGTGTTAAGATCACAGGGGCGTTGAAGCTCGCAGGATTCTAATTGTCTAAGCTACTGGGGTACAAGGTTCGAACTCGATTCAATAGCAAATTTTCCTCCCCTTTCAGAATTACGCTATTCTCTAGGTGACCTGTCGGGCGATGTAATTTGGGTCTGTGGAACCAGTGTTTGCCCAAGCATTGAAAAATAACCGCCCCCACCCCCCAAAAAAAAATTAATTAAAAAAAAATCAAAATAAAAAATCAAATAAACAATCTGAAACAAATCTACCCAACCACAAGATGTCAATAGTAGAGACATGATACCGACTCAGATTAGACATGTCCAGAGGTATGAAGGTTTCCTAATTGGGTGAAAAACAGTGACATCAGCGCGGTATCAACCATGTCATGGTAGAAAAATCACATGAGAAAAGAAACAGACCAAGGATGTAGTATTTACCAGTCTTCCCTCCCCTCTCTGTTAGGTTCCTCCTCTTACCCCATCCCAAACCAAGGACAAGGAAAACCGGTATTGATACTGTGTGAAGCGGAAGGATGTTAGTGTGCTTTAATAGATACTTTTAAAAGTGAGAAATATAATACTGGTGAAAAGCCCATGTGGAGACATTCAAAACTTTTTCATGGCTAAACCAAAAGTCCAACTAAAACAGATTAACTGTCATAGAATACGAGCCAAATTCTTTCTATTATGATATGTTCGGGAATAGTTTTGAGCTTGTCTTGGCGTCTTGTGCTAAAGAAAATTCCCTTTGACTAAACCGAGACTTTGGAATAGGATATTTAGATAAAGATTTAGTTCCAGGAAACACAAGCATACACAGTAGGTTTCATGGGTAATAATCATAGTTCGTCTGTGGAAGTCTGACGACCAAAAAATAATGCATCTGCAGAGGAGAATATTGTTTAAGCTTTTAGTCTTTTAGTACCCCCGGGGTTGGATTCTTTTCATTTTATAATACTTCTAGTACGAAGATCTCTTTGAAACTTTCAGTATTTCTCAAAAAACATTTTGACAGACTACTTTGCAAAGCATACTGATCGGATTAACGAGTACATTTCCTCTTTGGAAAGTGGAGGCACAGAGCTCCCCCTCGTCGTATGGATACGATAGTAAAACATGACGTAAGGATAGGGTTAATAGAACCCCCCCCCCACCCACCCCACAAAAAAAAGAAAGAAAGAAAACCCAGATTGAAATGACTTGTGGCTTCTCCTACTCATACGGTTTGCCAAATTTATTTTCCAGATTTAAGTATTATACATGTATTTCCAAATCTGTCGCTGATTTTAACAATGAGTCTGTAACGTTCTTGACTTAATTTAACTTTCGCTTCAGCATCACTTCTAATTCAGGAAGCAGTTATGATAAAATGCTATTTGTGACTACTGCCAACTTTCAAAAGTACTGTACGTCTAAATCTCAAGATACCTCGTACAAGCACAAGTTATTTTACAAAGCTTTTCCAGTTCTACTAAAACCAGTTTTGATTCTAGGGCTGGGCAATGAGTCGCTTTAACAAAATCCGGATATGTTAGTGCACCACTTCGGTAAATATTATGTTATGAAATGTTATAACCACTTTGACAAACGGGTTAGCATCACTTCAAATGGGTTATAACCACTTTGACAAACGGGTTAGCATCACTTCAAAAAAATGGGTGCACCCAATTCAGCAAACTGGTTAGGAAAGAGAATTGAGAGTTTGAATTCGGATAATGTACTTATTGAGGATTATCCGATTATTCGGATATTTATCCGGATTTTGCCCACCTCTATTTGATACTATAAACAGGGAAGGCAATTCTAAAAGCGTTCTTTTACTTTAATAATTATTATCTATATGGATTGTACAGAGAAAGACTTTTGAAAATTCAACTTGATATATTTCATGTTCAAGTGACAGTGGTTATTATACATTTCTTGTCTTACTATCGGAATCCTATATTTTCTTGTAAAGTATAAGGCGTACTCTTGCCTGGGACATGGCAAACGTACGTTGAGTCCACTGGGACATAGCAAACGTACGTTGAGTCCACTGGGACATAGCAAACGTACGTTGAGTCCACTGGGACATAGCAAACGTACGTTGAGTCCACGGAACCTCTCCAGCACTTCTCTGTGCCCATACATAACACGAAGCATACCATAAATCATGCCTTATATTGCTCGACTAAAGGCCCTTGTGTTTTTTCCTAGTCCCCCCAGCTTAAAACCTGGCGCCCCATTGTTTTGATGAAGACTGCTTCAGCCTTTCCTTTCCCTTTTTCTTTCGCTTCTTTTCTTGTTTGTTCTTCTTTGATATTTTACTTCTGTTCACATCGCCTGTCTCCACTTCTTAACTCCAGGTCTATTGTGATGAATCTGTGTGCTTGTGGGGCTGGCAGTTTGTGTGGGGGTTAATACTCTGTCTGACCGCTGCTTTTCGCGGTGTCTCACGAATTCATATATTGTAACGAGACAAGGACAGGAGGGAGGGAAGAAGGGAGTTTAGTGGATAAGGATGGAAGGACAGATGGAAGAATGCTGGGTAGGGAATGAGACACGAATAGAATTACAGGCCCATACATATATGCATAGAAAGGAAATAAGAGAGAGAGAGAGAGAGAGAGAGAGAGAGAGAGAGAGAGAGAGAGAGAGAGAGAGAGAGAGAGAGAAACGAGAAAGAGAGAAAGAAAAAAAAGAGAGGGGAGGGGGAAAGAAAGAGAGAGAGACCGAGAGAGAGAGAGACAGAGAGAGAGAGAGAGAGAGAGAGAGAAAGAGAGATAGAGAGAAAGAGAAGAGACCGAAAAAGAGAGAAAGAAGAAAAGAGAGAAAGAAGAAAAGAGAGAAAGAAGAAAAGAGAGAATGGTGAAAGAGAGAGACGGGAAATTGAAAGAGAAACAGAGACACACACACACACACACACACACACACACACACACACACACACACACGTGCACACACAGAGAGAGAGAGAAAGAGAGAGAGAGACTTAGAGAAAGAGAGTTGGAGAGGGGGAGGGAGGGAGAGAGAGGGACCGAAAAAGAGAGAAAGATAAAAGGGAAAGGGGGAGAAAGAGAGAAAGAGATTTACTGAGAAGGAGAGAGAGGGAGAGAGAGAGAGAGAGAGAGAGAGAGAGAGAGAGAGAGAGAGAAAGAAAGAAAGAAAGAGAGAGAGAGGGGTAGGGACCAAGAGAGGGACCAGAAAGACAGACACACACACTATGAGTGTGTGCGCGTGCGTATGTATGTGTGATTGTGTGTGTGTGTGTG